AACAGATGGTGCTTCCTCATCAAATTGTGTGACTGATATTTCCCACCTTGTGAGAAAGAAGAGGAAACCAGAGGACGAGAGTCCCCGGAAAGATGATGCAAAGAAAGTCAAACAAGAGCTGGAAGTCAATGGAGGCAGCGGGGATGCAGTCCCCAGTGGAAAAAAGTTTCAGAAAGCATGGAGGAGGAGGCTGAGAAACAAGCCAACAGCTGCGCTGCAGCGGAGGGCACAATGGAGGCAGGAGCTGCTGTCGAGACCACTGCATGTTGAGAGCGGGAATAGAGCCTTCCTCCCAGGGGAAAAGTGTTTTTGTATATAATGTATTTTTTCACTTTTGGGGATTCTTTTTGTATAACTTCAATAAAGATGGTAAAAAGGTTGAGGTTTTGATGTTTTTTTTTTTTTTTTTCTTAAATATTGGCTAAGTCCATGTCTTGGCACTCTAGGTTTATAATGTGGCCAAAATTTTGTGATTTCTTTTCCCTCCTCTCTGTATTGATTTCTTAGAAGTTGTAATCTCAGCTCCAGTCTACTGTGGAGGTTATAATTTGCATGTGAGGCCGTGGGCCCTTCATCTTTCATCGGTGCTATATTTTTGCTGTCACATATTTGACTGAACTCAGCAGTCATGCAAACTCTTGGTGGTGCTGTCTGTCCCTACACACAAGATTTGATGAAGATCTTGCTGCTTGGTGCTGAAAATGGATGATGGACCTTGACTGTGAAGCAGACCCTGGGCCCTTTTTGTCTTCTGTTCACTCTGTCTCCATCTATGGCCATTATTTTGACCTGGAAAGCATTGTGAAGCAAACTTGGGGCAGGAGATTGAGAAAAACAATGTGTTGAACTGGAAAAGTGACTTCTCTGGGAAGGAGGGTGGAACATGATGGACACTTGTTGATTGGAAGAATTTGTGGAGGAGTTATATATATATTTTTTCTGTAAAGGAAGGTTGAAATATATCAACACTTGGAATTGTTACTGTCTGAAGTTTTAAATTCTCAAAGATAACTAATAAAAGGTTCCTGGTCTGGAATTATGCTTAAAGACTTTGTTGTTGGATCCTGAGGTGCCTGGAGTATTTTATTATATAATGTGAAATTAACCAAAAGCTGGCTCAGTAGTTCTGGGTGTTATACAGTGGTCAGAGTACTCGTACCAATGCTATCCACTGGGTATGCTCTCAGATGTCCAGGGTATAGGGCCTTGTGTTGAGAAATGACTCCACAAGTCGGCCAAACACCTCTTCACTAGAGCTATGGGCCAGGCAGTATTCAGATATGAATTCCAAACAATTCAGTGCTCACATCCACTGAATGAAGTCATTTTTTTAGCTTTCTTTTTTTTCCTTCAAAATAATACAAGAGAAAATCTTTCTGGGCTGGTCACTAACTCCTGCCTGCAGAATCTAGCTTAAGCTGACTTGGAACTTCCTCCGTAAAAATGCCGTGTTGTACATTCCACGTCCTGAGGCTTTTCTCTTTATTTAGGGGTGGTATGATGTATAAGACTTTCATGGCATGACATGTTGATCCCTAGGACCTTCACTTTCATTGCTGAGGTTGGATCTGGGCCTAGGCCCAGTAGAAAAGTTCAGTATTTGTATTTGTCTGAAACATTGTCTGGGTCAGAGCTGGGCTGAGGGCCTGCCCTGGGCTAAAGCCCTAGCTAGGAGTTCCACTCATAGGGACTTCGTGAATGGAAAGCTGGGCAGGAGTCTTGAAGCTGGGATTTGACTGAAGTTAGGCAATAAAGCTGGGTTTAGCAAGACTTAGTCTAAACCTTTCACAAAAATTGCCAGCCAATGTTTGTATGATTCATTTAATTTTCAATCTTTTACCAAAGGAAAACAAGTACAGAAAGGCTAATACTTAGGGGAGTGGTAAGGCTGAGGTTGGAGCTCATTGCTGTTTATTTGCCTTAGTCCCCAGGTCAGAAGGGAGTAAAGCTGCACATTTGGAAGTGTCGCATTCACCTTGGCTCTGAAACCTGGTGGGTCTGGGTCAGAGCTGTGGTGAGGGCCCAAACCCCTCATCTTTGTCCTTCATGCCACGAAAGGGCTCTTCTGCAGGAGGCAGTGAATCAGTACAGCCAACTTTAGGGGTAGTAGCCTTCAGTGAAGATGAGGTGGATACCTGTGGAACATAAGACAGGTTTTCAACCAGAAGAGCAGTTTCTTGAGTTAAAAAGGTAAGCTTAGCTTGTTTCACTGTAACTTCTAGCTTTGTGTTACCTCTCTAGGAAATATGAAGATTGAGTGAATGCACAGAAAATAGCTGGTTGAGACTGGCAAATAATGGTTAAAAGCTGGCTACAGCTTAAACCATTCCAATTACACTTGTGCTGTAGGTAGCTTTAGTTGAGTGCTCACCAGTGGTGGGTACTGGTACTGGTGGGCAAAAGCTGGATTGATCTCTGCCAACATCTGGACGTCTGCATCTCTTGCATTTACCAGTCGCAGAAAGAGCTCAGCTTGGCCTGCCTGGGGAAGGGGTAAAGGTAACTCCATTTGTACCTTAGGGCATACCCAGCCCCAGCCTCCACACTCACCTGGGGAATTCCACTGTGCCCAAGGCTGAGGCTGGAGTCCTGAGGAAGGGGCCGAAGTAGGAGGCGCCAGTGGCCACTTAGTACCCTCTGATCTTGATCAAACAGTGCCAATGAGACCCAAGCCTTTGGCTGTGGTGTCCTAACCCCTGGGAGCCCTTGCCAGGCCTGTAGCTCACAGACCAAGGACACCAGTGGTGATGGGGGCAATCTGTAGAATAACCGCAAAGAGGTATCAGAAGCCAGAGCTAAAATCTCTTCCTACTTCTGCTGTTTAAGTCAGTGTCCCTTGCATAAACACTAGGAAACAATGAAGGGCAAACCTTAACTGGCCAAGAGCAACAAAGTTGTGAGCCCCACCTACTGACCTGGGTACAGGCTGCCTGCTGGCAAGGATGGCACAGTTGCCTGTGGGGCCAGGAGTCAAAGGTGGGGGTAAGCAGAGGGCTGGGGGCATTGCTGTGGCACCTCCTGTATCCTGTCCATCTCGGGTCAAGGCAGTTATTAGCTGCACCCAAATCCAAGAAGCCTCAAGTCCTTGCAGGAAGTCATAGAAAATGACCAGGCCAGCCCTAATGGACAGAAATCTTAAGCACAAACACTGTAAACAGCCTCCCTCCACCCTGTCAGTTCCAACCACAGTGCTCCCAGATCTCCTTAACAATTAGTAGCTAGTAGCTAAGTCAAAGAGGATGACCAAGGAAGAAGAAGGCCTTACCCAGAGTCATAAGGTGCAGGGCCCAGCACATCAGATGCAGGGAGAACAGATGCATCCAGGCCCAGGTTTCTGGTCATGGTTCCAGTGAGTTGTGGCTGTGGGCAGGAGTTGACTCCTCCAGGAAGTGTTCTAATGGCATGTGCCCTCTCCCAAATGCACAGAGCAAAGCTGATGCTAAAATATCCCACTGCCCACCCTATCCACTATGGTTATCACCTTTTTCAAAAAACTGCGAAAGGACTGGAAGTTTGTGGAGCCTGGTGGTGGTGGCAATAGGGGCACTACTGGTGGAGGGAGGATTGGAGCATCTGCCCCTTTCTGCAGGAGTTGCGCACCAGCAGTTCCTAGGAACATTTAAGAGTTAGGGCATCCTCTTGCTGGTAACTGAGCTAAGTCAAGGGACACATGCACAGACACATGGATATGTGTATGGACTCGAACTAATGGTACAAACCCAGGCCTTACCACACAGGAGCCCTCCATCCCTTTCTGAACTGTTAGGATGGCTCAAATTGGGGTGTGCACTTACCCCAAGGATCTAGGCCCAAGCCCCTTTGCATCTGCAGTGCCAGGATTGCTGCCTCCAGGTGCTGGTTTTCTGTTTCCAATATCAGAAGCTGACTTGAGGTGGCACTGGCCTTTTCTGCAATGAGTAAGTCTGACTTGTCACCTCAGCCCAGAGCAACTCTCTGGACAAACCTAGACTTGGCAATTCAGATTCTAGCTAGTTACCACAGGTTTCCAGCCTTAGGGCATTTGCACAAGTGGCTCCCAAGCCAATGAGGCCTCCCACCCACCTGGCCAGCCTTTTCTCTGCCTAGTACTAAGGCCACTGCCACTGGGAGGGCCTCCAGGTAGGAATCTCTAGCTCACCCCTGCGGTTCCGAGTGCGCTGTAGCTCCAGGGCTGATGCCTCTGCTTGTAACTGCCATATCTTGCTCAGAACACCAGGGTCTTGGCCCCCGCCTCGCACATAAGCCTCATGTAGGGCCCTAAGGAAGCATATGTGGGGAAGATTGAAAATCTTAACAGAAATAAACCGCACTGTCCTTCCTGTATGCCCTGTGCAGTCATCCTCACCCAATCTCAGCAACCAGGTTTCTTGCGCTGGCTTGCAGCACAGGCCAACAGAGCCCAGAGTCTGGCTGGGAGCTTGACTGTATCCTGGGAGAGGAGGCGATGTCAGGGAAGCTCAGCAACCTGCTACAGCCCATCTCCAAACGCTCTGTGAGAGTCTTACCCTATCTGGGCCTTCAGCTCTTGAACACGTGTCCCCAACACCTCTAGAGCTCCCCGGGTCCAATTGGCCTCAGCCTGGAGTCCACGAAGTTCACGCTCCAGGCCTAAGAGGCGGGGTATCCCGCCTGAGGGTCGGGCCACACCTTGGAGGTGCAGGTTCAGCTCTGAGGATGAACAGACCCAGTTAGAATGAGTTTGGCCTGGTGACAGAGGGTCCTTGGCTCCCCATTCTCCCTCACCTGCTCTACGCTGCTCCAGGGCACGGCCACGTGCTTCATTCTGGGCCATACGCCTGGCATGAGTAGCACATAGTTCCTGCAGCCGTTTGCCAGGGCTCCCTGCAGCCTTGGAGGAAGGGCCCTCTACCACCCATGGCTGCATTTCTTGTAGGGCCAGCCGCAAACACTGCACCTGGGGACCAGTAATCAGGGATTAGCAAGTGGGGGCAACCTTTCCCTTGTATAATCCACATGTGAGGGGAGGTTCCAAATTAGTAACCCTGGAGAGGCAAGCAGGGTGGGTGGGTGGGTACCTCTTCTCTTAACCTCTTTAGGGCAGGTCTGCTGGCCTCCTGGTCTGAGTGGCCCTGGAATTCTTGTGAAACAGCCTGCGGACAAAAGTTGCTAAGATATGGAACCCGGAGTCCAGGCTTGCTGCAATTCCCACCGGTGGCCACAGGGGTGCAACACTTTACCACAATGTCCGCTGATTCAGAAGATGGCTTTGTTCCAAGAGTCATCTCCGGGGTCAGGCGGCCAATGCAGAAGTGCTGAGTGTGGCTGGCCAACAGGGCCCAGGAGCGGAAAACCATGTCACAGGACCTGCAGGGTAGGAGCCCTGGATCCTCAGAGTAGGAGGCCATAGGAGAAGGCTGGTTTCCTGACACCAGCCTTGTTCCACAGAGGATGTGGCACAGCAGAATGGGTGAGGAGCCTGGCCTGTGGGGTCTACAAGATCTTCAAGTTTATGTTTGGGGAGGAGCCTTGGCTCCCAGGCAGCAACGACAGGCCTGGGCAGGTTACGAGAATGGGTGGGGAAGCTGTGCCAGTTTGGGAGAGATTAGACTGGAAAAGGGCCTAGCAACTTCTGTGTCACCTTGGTTCCTTGCCTACAAAGAAAATGTAGTAGATAAATGCCTTCCAGTGTAGCTCCATCCACCTATGGTCATTCAACAGCCTCTGATTAGGCAAGGAGCACCTCTTTCACTGCGGTATTCCAAAACAGGTTAACTAACATGAGTCCAGGGAACTCCTGGTAGAGGTGACGCTCTGCTTGGAAACCATCTTTTCCCCAGAATGAAAAGCTCTAACATGCCTGTTTTGAGGCAACCTCAACCCCCACCTTTCCTTACTTGGGACTGAATGGAGCTACATCTTAACCCATTCACTCATTCATTTGTCCATTGGAACTTTTTTAAGTTGCTCTGGCTGGGCTCAAAATTGCAATCTTAGGGAGCCGGGGAGATGGCTCAGTGGAATAAGCGCTTCCCTGGCAAGCGCAGGGCCTGAGTTCAACCCCCAGTTCTGCCAAAAATAAAAAAAAATAAAAATTGCAATCTTTCTGCCTTAGTTTCCTAAGTATTGGTATACCAGGGCTGACTACAATCACTACGTCTGAACCAAGTCACCCTAGGAAGAGTAGTCTCTAAATTCCATTCAGATTGCTTCAGCTGCAGTGGGAATAATTAGCACAGCTCAAGGAGTGAGAACTGTCAAGAGAACACAATCCACTAGATGAGGGAATAAATTCTAAAAAGGAATTCTTTCTCAAGGGTCAAGAAGTCTGGCCAAATTTTCCTCCAGTCTCCAACTACCCCTTGAACAGGCATCTATCAAGTTATAAAGTAGTAAGAGGTCTGGACTTGCCCCATATCTCAAAGAGGCTCTCTTTAAACAAGCCAGGTACCTAAAGTATTTCCTCCCAGATAATAATCTCAATTTTACAAGTTTAATAATTTTGCTATAATATTCTTAGCTCACTTTACACTATACATATATTTTTAAAGATAGGGTCTCACCATGTAGCTTCAGGTTGGCCTCAAGCTCACAATCCTGCCTCAGTTTCCCAAGTGTTGGGGTTACAGGTGTGGATTACAACACTTAGCCATTTCATTTATTTTTTATGTTTTTGATACAGGGTCTCACTACACAGCTCAGACTCATAGTAATCCTGTTTTTAGGTTTCCCAGCACTGGGATTACAGGCATGCTCAACCATACCTAGTCTTATAGGACTGGCATGGCATGAAGTACCAGGGATCAAACCTGGGTCCTTGTGCTTGCCAGGCAGACCCTTAGACCACCAAGCTATCTTCTCAGTCCAAATGCCTATTTGTCAAATAACCATGACATCAGGATTCACATTTAGTATTGTAATTAGCAAGTTTTCTATTAGCATATAAATGTTTGAAAATACATACGGAAGCTAGGTATAGTGGCACACATCTGTAATCCAGCAACTTGAGAGTCTGAAGCAGAATGATACCAAGTTAAATTTTACTGGGACAATTTAGCAAAATCCAGTTTCAAAACAAAAGTGTTGGGGATGTAGCTCAGTGGTGCTACATCCCTGGGTTTGATCTTGAGAACAAAAAAGGCCACTTTACATTCAATGAAGTATGATTATACATATAAATTGTCACACATACAAATTTTTTAGGGGGTGGTGGTGCTCTGGGCCTTCAAACTGAGTTGTAATTCCAGTCAATTTTTTTTTTTTTGCAGAACCGGGGATTGAACTCAGGTCTTTGCGCTTGCCAGGGAAGCACTTACTCTCTACTGAGCCATCTCCCCGGCTCCCGAGTCCTTATTTTTTAATGTATTTGGTTGTTACAGGGTCTCACTATGCAGCTTAGACTCATAGTGATCCTCCTGTTTTCAGCTTCCCAGTCCTGGGATTATAGGCATACTCCACTAGGCTCAGACTCTGTGGTTGGGGGCAGGGCTGGTGGCATGTGGTGCCAGAAATCAAAACACGGTCCCTGTGCTTACCCGAGCAGGCACTTTAGTCCACTGAGTTATTGCACTGGCCCTCCCAGCCCTTTCAGAAGGATTTTTTTTTGGCTGCTCAGGATGCCTTATGGGCAGGTCTGGTAAGGCATGAGGATCTGGGGATCGAAACCACAGAATTTTGAGCCTGATTTGTGTAAGCAGGAACTTAAAACTGAGCTAATGGGCAGGCTCCCCTCTCCTAGCCCTTTTAGAATGCAGTACAGTGATTAAACTCAGGATGCTGTGCTTGACAGGCAGGTATTTGTACCACTTAGCTATATCCCCAGCCCTCTTAAATTTTTTGCTTTGACAAATTGCTAAACTGCCCAAAGTCAAACTTGTAATTCACCTGCCCTCCATCTAGGATTACAGGTGTCCATCACTCATCCCGAGTTAATTCTTACTGCTCTACCTCAACTACTCTCACCAGTTTGCATGTGAATTGTTTATACTGTACCAGTATCACTAAGAATTATATGTAACACTGATCAGGTCTTCTCTTCCACAATAAATCATTTTTTCTTTTTATATTTGTCTTTTTTGAGGCAGGCTTTTGCTGTATAGTTCAGGCTGGCTTTGATCTTATTTTGTTGTCTAGGGTGGCCTCAAACTCACAATAATCCTCCTGCCACAGCCTCCAGAGCTCTGGGATTACAGGCATGTGCCACCACACCTGGCCACAAATCATCTAACATGCACCAACACCTATCATTCGTCTACTTACTTCCCAGCAGAATATACAGTAATTGTGGTTTCCTGTATCTCTCATGGACAAGCAAATGTAGCAATGGCAAATATGCCAGCATTCCGTGTCATGTATCGACTAACTTCTATTTCTTCATCAAATCTTTGGCCTAAAATTTCACTTTTTTCTTGTGTCATTTTTAAAATTTTTAAGACTATTTGTTCTTTTTATGCAACGGGGTGTCATTAAGTAGTACAAGCTGGCCTAGAACTCAATAATCCCCCTGGCCTCAGCCTCCTGAGTGCTGGGATTATGGTTTCATTTTTTCTAATACAACTGCTTATTCTCTGCCCTAGTGGGCTCGTTACTCCTTGCTTCCCAAACCTATGGCATGCAAAAGTGGTTTGGGAATTACATAATGAAATAATCTGTTTCCTCCACTGGCCATCTAGCTAGCACTGGTTCAGGTCTCCCCCCTCAAAGTTCTTATTTAGTAGAAACACTGAGGCACACTCACCCTCCTTAAAACATTCACATTTGGAAATACATTTGAATATAGGTACTAAAAAATGGCTAAAGATAGCTCAGCAGACTAAGCACCTGTTTTGGCAAATGCAGGGACCAGCGTTCAATCCCTGGTCCCTCATGCTGCATCGGCCCTGCCCCTGGGGCACACTGAGCAGGCCAATGGGTCGGGGTGTTGTGGCACACGCCTGTAATCCCAGCACTGGGGAGGCTGAAACAGGAGGATCACTATGAATCCAAGCTGCATAGTGAGACCCTGTACCAAATACGTTAATGACCCCTCCCCCCCTGAAAAAAAAAGGCTTAAGGAAAGAAAATTTAGTTTCTGATTGTATCAGTAGTAATTTATATAGCAAAGAATTTCTCCATCAAAAAAGTATCTGCGGGGGCCTGCCCCTTAGCTCAGTTCTTTAAGTGGCTGCTTCAACAAAGCAGTCAGGCTCAGGTTGCTGTGGTTCGTTCCCCACAACTCAAGCCAGCCAAACCTGCCCTGAAGGCATTCGGAACAAAAAAAAGTATCTGCTAAGGCTGGGAACACAGCTCAGGGGTCAAGTGGTTGCCCCGCAAGACAAGAATCCCAGTATGGAGGGAATAGCTCTGTTAGAAGCAAATAGGTATGTCTCAATTCAGATTTCTTCCAAACTTTTTAAAAACACTTCCCCTAAAAAGTATCCCCCCCTAGTTTTAAGGAAAATACACTTCTTACACAGGACAATCCAAACTGATGCAAAATATTTATTCCAAGTTAGTTATTTTATGCAGTAGTTTTTCCCCCTCAACAGACTTGTGATAACCACATCTTTTTAAATCTGTAAATAATGTTATCAAAATAATCTTAATCTTTGAAATCTCACAAAAATTTATATTTTACAATCCACCCTGAATATCAAGGCTGCAAGAATAACACATTTC